GGTCTGCTGGTACCTCCTGCAGGACAGAGCACCACTGACCTCCTCCACACACATCTTCCTCAGGCTCATCCTCCAGACCCACAACTTCACCAGCACAGATGCAGATGTGCAGCACAGTGCATGCTGACTTTTAATAGATTAAAGAAGAGTTTTTTTATTGAAAAATGTAAAACAAAACATAACCTGCAGTACACTGGTTCTGTTCAGTTTAAAGAAAAGCAGCAGGGAAAACTACAGAGAATTTACATTTTTAAGACAGACCTAATCTTTATTAGGCTTACGTTTGTTGGGGTTATTAGGTGAACGAATAATTTGTAAGCTTTACTTACTTTTTGGATTCTTCAATAAATTCTGTAAATATGGAAACATTTACCGATTTATTAATTAATTAAGATATCCTTAGATATCTATGGGGCCCCATCCCCTTTAATGGGGAAAAATGAATCCAAAACCTCTGGTTAGTCCGTCTGAAGTTCGTAAAATCCGTTTAGGAGCAGAGATTTTCAGCCAACACACAAAATCCAATCTGAGACAAAAATCTTAATTGGCTATACATTTTTTAACTAATATCATCCTTCAGCTCCTTCTGAAAGGTTAATCAATCAATATCAACCAATTGATTTTATCAAATGAATAACAACAATGAAATGATACCGTAAAACAAGGAGACCCCAATGGATGGGTTTGTTTTAGTCGTGAGTCCACCCAAATGCTAAAAACAAGCGTGTGTGTGTGTGTGTGTGGGGGGGGGGGGGGGGGGGGGGGGTCAGTGAGGTAATGCTGAAAGAATGTGACTGGGAGCTATCTTTTCAGCTCTAATACAGACAAAGGAAAAGTTTAGCTTCTACCTTTAACTAAATTTCACAGTAATTTAAACACTTAAGAAGTTTAAACCCTCTCCACCAAACTCAAAGAAAGAGAGAATCAATCATTAATGAAATCCCTGATAGTTTATCAGCCTGGCCACAGCACAACTATTTAAGATATTCATAATAATTGAACAAAACAGCTTACTCTTTAAAATGCTCCCGATGGCGTATTTTGGTACGAAAGAGAAAAGCCCGTCTCCTATTTTGAAGCAAATCACGCGGTTGACTGCTTGTTTGGCTATGAGAAACGGAAGAAGTAGTTAGATAGAAAAAGAAAGGAAAACTTCTCTGAGCGACTTCAAGGCGTCCCTTGGAAATCACGCTGAGCCATACGATGATTTTACGCTGCTCTTCCGCGGTTCAGCGTTCCCACTCGTCCAAAGCTGCAGCAGCGAGCGATTTCTCTCTAACATCAACCGAAGCTGAGAACAAAGAGGAGTTAAGTTTCACTTTTCCTCTCTTTTATAGACTCTGGCGGCTGTCGGGCTGAGACTGTTGTAGGTTCTGCGCATGTGCAGAACCCGTGCTCTGCCTTGGCGGTGACGTCATCAAGCTACTTCCGGGTGCAGAGACCCATGGGAAATGAAGTCTCTCCTGGCACTGGAACTTATTATCTGCTTTTTCAAAGCGCAGATTACACAGTCTTTTGATAAAATGCTGCGTAGCAATTTCCTCATGAGGGTAGACCCTCAACATTCCCCCTTTTGGTTTCGGGTATCGCGCCAGAGCTCGATCGTCAGAAGCACAGATGGGTTCTTCCCTCATGAACGTTGGTCAACTTGATTGTCGGAAGCACAGATGGGTTTGTCCCTTAGGAACGTTGGTCTCCTTGGACGCCTTTGGTCTTTGCCTTTGGTCTTTGTCTTGGATCCTGGTCAGGCACAAAAACAAAAGAGGATAGGAAAAGGGATAGTCCCCATGCGCATAATGAGGAGAAGCCACCCACGCAGGTGGTACGCAGTGATGTCGTTGTCCATGCGAGAGGTAGTAGTGTGGAAGGAGGGAGGCCGGCGGGCGGTTGACTCCACGAGGGGACAAAAGGGGACAAGGATCAGCAGTCCACAGTTCATGGGAACAAGGGGCATCCGTGAGGGAAAAAAGGGCATCTCACCGCCGGCCATACAGTTCAGTTCATGGAGCATGCGGTGATGTACGAGCAGGGGTGTCGGACTGGGGGGGGAAAGGGTACCGTTTACCCAGGGCCCACTGCAGGGAGGGGCCCTGAGACAGCTTTGAATAAAAATGTTTTATTGTTGTTGTTTTTTCCCCCCAACTTACTTAATGTCTTAATAAACTTCCCTTTACCTGGATAAAGAGGTTAAGAAACAGACTTTTGCCTTTAAATAATAACTGAATAATCTCTGAGGCATCTATCACCCCTTAAAAATGTGTAAAGTGGTTTAGTCCACACCAGCGGCCAGGGGCTGCACGGCCGCATGTACAGCTATGAGACATCGCAGATGCCGACAGCCAGAGCTGGAGGCAGGAGAGTCAGTCATGTCTTTTCCCAAGAAAGGGAAATCTGGCTTCCAGAAAAGACAAGAAAAGAAGAAGGAGAAAAAGTTAATTGAACAGAAGCAAGTACTGACTAGGTTTTTCAAGAAGGATGGTGAGCAGCAGCCAGCAGCAGCAGAACACAGTTTTAGCTGATATTAGCTAGCTCTCAGAAGCTGCATTCATGTTAGGAGTTCAGTGTTAAACGGCTTTAGTTTCACCATCAAGATCAAATATAAACTAATTAGAGTTATCAGTGAAAACACTAATTAATATATATATATATTAATCAGAATTATTATCGCGGGCGGCCGGCGCCAATTAATTTGCGGACCTCGCAGTAAAAACAGGTTCACTCTGTGTGGATATTTCAGCTCCGTCCCAGTCATGGACCAGGACAAACTTGGTATTGATGGATTCGTGGTAATCTCAGGAATGAGAAGCTGCCACTGTTTTTCGTATATCATGATGACACTGGTGTTAGAGGATTGTTATTGACTTGGTTAGATATTTTAAGCCTATTTTAAATGTCTTTATATTTCATCTTGAAAACGGACAATCTTATAATTTGGCTGATAATGCAGGGATTATAAAATTTAGAGTGCATTACATTCACAGAGAGAACCTGGTTTATTTCATGTCATATGTATTTAATATATCAATATATATCAGCAAAGCTTAACATCATGAACCATGACAGGCATGACTGAAGAGCAGATGAAGATATCATGCCAGACACTGATGAGAAAATATTACAAGGATCTCACAGCTGAATTTGAGAATGAGATGCTACACCTGAGAACAATATATGGTGCCACATTTCCACACACTCGGTCTCCTCTTGAGCTGCTTAATGCCATCTACAGGATGCAATTACAGAGCATTTTTGGAGAAGTTTGTATTGGACTGAGGATTTTTTGCACACTACCTGTGACTGTTGCTGGGGGTGAACGAGCTTTTAGCAAACTGAAACTGGTGAAAAATTATTTGAGATCAACAATGTCCCAGGATAGACTGAACACCCTAGCTCTTCTTTCTATTGAAAGCCAATTAGCCAAAGGATTGGACTTTAAAGATCTCATAAGTGATTTTGCTGACATGAAGACCCATCAGTGGGCATTTACTGGAAAATAAATTCCAGGATTTTTGTTTGAACACATTGTTAGCAAATAAAAATAATTATATGTGAAGTCTGGGCATTTCACTTTTATTATGCTGGCATTTGTATTTGCTCAATATAGAGGTTAAACTAAGATCATATTTATTATCTTGTCTTATAGCATGACAAAAAATGTGTAAGAGAGATATAAGTAATTGAGCATGGGGGCCCACCTAGAAGACTTGTACCTAGGGCCCAGAATTTGGTGCCACGCCCCTGTGTACGAGGTCCATAGTTCGCAAACGCGCATTGACCTATGTGGTCCCAAGAAGTTGAATAAACAAATGCACATTGAAAACACTTCAATGCTATTTTATTCAAAAGCCTGTTTTTTTTTAAACATTTTACCCCATTTGGTGCAAAATAAGAAGTTCTGAGGTCCAATTAACATTAGAAAACATCCAACTGCATTCAAAATTTATAATGCATTTGGTTTATATCAATTACCTACATGATCATACTCAGTAGTAATGTGTTGTGTACGTTTAACAAGTTCATTCTGTAGCTTAAAACATACACGGAACCATCTAAAGTTAGCATGTAAGTCCTGACAGCTTCTAGAATAAACAAAGTTACTTTACCTGAAAACGTTTGTGAACAAACGCTGCTGATGGACATGAAGCTGCTGTAGCTTCTTAATATTCCTGCTCCATTTTTGCTAGCTTTAGCATTTTTCCTTTGCGTGTAGCTGCCGCCACAGCTGTGATGGGACCTACGGGCCACCATAGAGGTGAAGGCTAGACTGTCCGAATTCAGAGCCGCTGACTTCCTTCCTTGCTAGACCGGCGAGGGCCCGTACTCATAAGCATCCTTCCTGTGGATTCGGACACACCCGGTGTTGGGCAGCTTAGCTTTGCAACGGGAATGAGTGACCTGGGAACGTGTTCTTGGTTCAGATTGGAATCACATCTGAAAATGTGAGGATCAGGAAATCGAACCTTGAGATGGGTTCGCTTCTCTGGAATTAATGCTTCATCAGACTAAAACACGAGTCATCAGATATTGAATAAAGCATACATTATTCAAACATTTGATTCAAACATCTTGCTCATTCAACACATATAATTATTCCAACTTATACATTTTAAAGTGAGTAGGTTGACAGTTATTTAGTGTGAGGTTGCAGCAGTCTGGCTCCTGCATTAGACCTTGGGTGAGAATGTTTGGCCTTCTTGTACAGTAATAAGAACTGGGCAGAACTTTCTGGATTAACAGGCCAGACTGATGGTGGGTTTATATCTGCAAATGAAAGGTTACTTTCTGGTCAATTTGTGGGTGAAAAGTTGACCTTTGGTACGTTACAGCTGCTGCCCCCGCGACCCGACAACAGCAACAACATAACAGCAGGGGTGTCAAACACAGTTGATTTTGACAAGGTTTGGGTGTTCTTAGATCTTTCTGTCTGTATGTTCTTTTATGATCACCAAAGTGTAATTACAAGCATTTCACAGCTTTCAAAGTTTTAACCATTCACATGATTTATATGGAAAACTGCTTTATTTACATTGTTCATTCTTCTTTTTCTTGCCAAAATGTACAAGGATTTTAGAACAGGTTCATTATTTGTTCAGTTGTAAAATGACAAGGATTACAAACATTAGGCTTGTTATGTTCATGAGTAGCATGTGTCATAGATCAATCCAGTAAAACTGGACTAGAACATGGAACTTTACAAAACCAACATGAAAAGTAAATTGATATTTTCCTTATACAACATGTGTCAGTGGGTTACAGTTAGAGTCTATGAATAAACAGTAGCCTGAAGAAAATAAGAGCATGTGATGATCAGTGGAGTCCAGCTGTCCATGTCAGAAACCTTCAGCTTGGGTTCAGGCTGATTCAGCGTCTGGACAAGTCCCCTCCTGTAAAAAAAAAAACAAAAACTGGGTGTATAAAAAAACTAGTAACACAAGAGAGTCCTGGAAAAGCTTCAGAAACACACAACTGATTTGTTTAAAGGTGTGGTTCACCAAAAAACCATTTTTTTAATGATTGTTTCTGGTCATAATGGATTGTTTCATGGCTGGACTTAAAATAGTCTCCTACACCTATCTCCTGCTTTAGCTTCTTAAATAGTCTCCTACACCTATCTCCTGCTTCAACTTATGATAGAAAATAGTCTCCTACACCTATCTCCTGCTTCAACTTATGATAGAAAATAGTCTCCTACACCTATCTCCTGCTTCAACTTCTGATAGAAAATAGTCTCCTACACCTATCTCCTGCTTTAGCTTCTGCTAGAAAACAGACAGAGAAACTCTCAGATGAGAAAAGCTTGACAGATCTGCGTCACACTGTCACTTAACATTCATGGACTCATCCATCTTGACTCACGGCGGGGAAGGCTGTTGTTGGTTTAGTGTCCAGGCAACAGCAGAAGCTAACCATTAGCATTAGCAACTCCACCACACAGCAGAACTCCTCCAGACTTGTGTTATGGGTTAGGGTTTATGGAGATAAATCATCACTGCTGCAGACCTTACTCTTAGCCAATCAGAGGAGGAGAGATATGATAGACATATCTGGAAATATTACTCCAAATCCTGTTGTCTGAGTATGGTCAGTGAACTGTGTGTGTTATGTTTTGGAGCATTTAAATTAGTTCTTTAACTGTATTATTTCCTGCTATTTCAGCTATTTCGGTGTTTTTCTCCTCAGAAGAAGCTACAATGGTGTTCTGCTGAGCTGTGGTGGCCTCACGGAGGGGGCCGTCGGCTTGAACACTGCTGCTAACCACTTAAACATTCTCCTTCTCCTGATAATAACATTTTACTCTCTTTGACATTGAATGTGCAACTACTAGTTTACCTGTTTATTTATAGATTCACTAGGATGAATATAATAAAGTGTATCTGTCACCAAATAGAATATTTACTAAGAAATCACAATTTAACCATAGAAACACTACTTGGTGTGTGTGTTTGGGTGTGTGTGTGTGTGTGTGTGTGTGTGTGTGTGTGTGTGTGTGTGTGTGTGGGTGTGTGTGTGTGTGTGGGTGTGTGTGTCTGCTCTGTCTTCTCGATCCCCAGTGAGTCGTGGAGGATGGCTGCTTATACTGAGCCAGGATCCTCTGGAGGTTTCTTCCTGTTAAAAGGGAGTTTTCCTCTCCACTGTCGCTAAAGGCTTGCTTAGTATGAGGATTGCTGTAAAGACTCTGACACTAGTCAGTGACTCGATGCAACCTGCTTGGTTCCTTTTATAGGAAACTTTTTTCTGATTGGCTTAATGAACTGACCTGTATTGGAATGTTTATTATGTGAAGTGCCTTGAGACGACTCTTGTCGTGATTTGGCGCTATATAAATAAACTTGACTTGAATTAAGATGTCTGTTTTAAATGAGAAACCCCATTTTAAACATGTCACCACTGGCGTTTTTAACACTATTGTTGGAAATGGACATGCACACCTCTCTGTGTTACGACAGTGTCCTTCATTTTAAACACCCGTACCTGGTCGTTAGCCTGACCAGCCAGCCCCACACTTCCTTATGCGAAGCACTGGGTCTAGGAAATCTTCTATTCAAACAACGCCACCCCTGAGAATTCTAACCGAGCCAATCAGCGCTGAGCAGCGTACGTCACACACCGCAACGCTCAGTTTCTCATAAACAACAAAGCCTGAAGTGGAGTTCTCTGCGGCTCTTTCCTCTGTTCTAAATGACTTGGACGCGTCTTTAAAATCACAACAAGTAGAAGCACTAAAAGTCTTCTAAAGAAAGCAAAAAAAAAAAAAAAACGACAGAGTTGCACGGTACAGCAGGCATTTCCACCTTTTTTCTGATTGGTTATTTTTGAGCTTGATAGTTCCGCCCCTCATGTACCTCTCGGTAACCAGTCTAGTTCTCTATGTAGAATTAAACAGAGGACGAGTCTGGCAGGCCAGGGTAGCTGGATGTAATAATTAGGGACAATTGATTCATTTCAAGATCCAAAGTATCTTTAGGAAACTTCCATCCATCCATTATCTGGAATTCCAAGGCATTCCCTGGCCAATCGGAGTTATACTTAAAATAATTAAACTGCCTTTTTACATCATCTGATAAATTGTGAAAACCATGATTCTGTGATCTGTGAGAGCTGAGAGGAGATGAGCTCACGAACATTAAAAATAAAACACAAAAACATGAGATCCCTTTGCTGTTGGTGGAAATCTCACATATTCAACTGATGAGGACACTTCAGTAGCCTTTTGCTGCAGAGGAAGCTGCGCTCTGTGACAGCAGCTGTGAAGTGTCACAGAGCGAAGCAGTGAGACAGAACTAACAGTAAAAGTTTAGAAGCAGCATGTGTGACAGATTGTTACTTCTCTGTAGTTTAGCGGGTTATTGTGTATAAAGGAGAAGGATGAATGTCCAGTTGACAGATCAGCCGGTGAGCTGGAAGACGGGAATAGGAGACCCGCAGCCGGAGTCTGACGCCAAAGCGAGGGTTTTAAAAACTAAGCTACCTCTTTGAAAAAAGATGAGCTGGGTCATGAATTGACACTAAAAATAAATGCTTTGTTTATAAACAGCTTTGTTAAATAACAGCTTTGTTTTGGTTAGCGGTCAGCTTAGTGACATATGCTACAGGAGGTGCACTCATGACGCAGCGTGTCCTGCTGGAGAGAGACGCTGTGCAGGCTGCCTCACTGAAATTTTGTGTCGTACAGCGTGACACCTCTCTGGAGTTCTCACAGTGTGACATGAACAATCCTGTTTGATGGCCAAAAATTGCACAGTGAGATCACTGTCTTAACCCAGTCCAGTCATTCCGATGCTTTTGATCGTATTCCTGACATTTATTTAAACAGAGAAGTTTATTTGTTTAGTCCACAAATGTTCAGATGAAGGCAGCTGTACTTCTTGGTTTCTTGAAGATGTTTGCTTCTCATCCGAGGAGCTTTGTCAGTTCTAACTGGAATATAGGAGAGTCAAGCTTTTAAGCTGTAGCTGTCTGTTGTTTAATGAGCAGAAGCTACTCTTGAGTACCCCGCCTCTCTACCCCTGATGAGTCATTGGCCTCTATTGAGAGGGAGTCATGTTGATTAGACACAGGAAGGTGTGTCCTAGACTGACACTGCTTAGGAATGAGATTAAAGCTGCATTATAGGTACTGCAGGTGAACTCTAAGCCCCGCCCCTATTTAAAGTGGGTTTTTCACATTTGACATAGATAGCTTGTTTTATTCCTCTCTGAAATCATCTATCTTCTCTGTCCAGAATGTGGACTTTGCCATCTTCAAAGGTGTGTCCCTTGTCCTTCAGGTGCAGGTGGACTGCAGAGTCTTGACCTGAAGAGGTGGCTCTCCTGTGTTGTGCCATGCGCTTGTGTAACTGTCTGTATTATCTGTATAGTCAAGATAAAACTCACAAGAGAATGAACGTGTGGGCACAAATTCCCTCACCTTGACAGCTGGTGCACTCACAGCTGTGTATGACCGGAACGACGACCGGCTCGCTCTCTCCACTCTCACACTGCAGGCTGAGAAAACGAACGGGGGTTTCTGGGTCCAAACGATAACTACAGCACTCACACTCTGACTGAAGGTAAGGCTCCTGGGGAGAGAGGGTGGAGGAAAGAGAGGATGTCTATGTGTATATATATATATATATATATATATATATATATATATATATATATATATATATATATATATATATATGTGTGTGTGTGTGTGTGTGTGTGTGTGTGTGTGTGTGTGTGTGTGTGTGTGTGTGCTCAGCATAAATTAGTACACTTCATTACATTTGTCAGAAAACCTTTCAGAAACAACATTTTCTATCAGATACCATATTACAAAATACTCCAATAAATGTGGGCCATAGATTGCAAGAGGTCAGGAGAGGACAGGAGAACGCACAACTAATTAATTAAATAATTTGGTTCTGTACCTTTCTCTTCAGCACAGCCAACAAAGGTTTATGATGGGTCAGTCCTCCTGCATGCTCAGATCATTCCCTTCCCTTGCTTGAAAATTTGTTCCAAAATGAAAGTTGAACCCACATCTTTTTTACCTGTGAATTCAATGCCGTTCGGCGAGTCTCAAATAAAAATTTGGGCATCTTATTGTAAAAAAAAATACCATTAATGTCAAAAAGAAACTCTAAATAAACTATGTTCACACCCAGAATCAAACCCAGGTCTTCTGCACGGGAGTTAATCTTACAAGGTGAGCTACACTCCATTAACATTCACAGTATCTGTAACTTTTATATCCTTGATGACACCTGAAATAACGTCAAACTAAAGAACGGTTCAGAGGGAAAATGGCTATATTGTTGTTAATTTGCAGGAAATATCTAGAAGAAAGTTCTACAGAAAGTAGCTAAGGGTCCTCAGAAATGTAGCTAAGTTCATCACTAGGCGTTAGGAACAGCGACAAAGTGGCTGAGTTGGCACTACCTCTCTCTCTGCTGCTAAAGCTACGGATAGCAAATGCTACGGGCTATGCCTGAGCGTGAACGCGCATGAAGCAGCCTGCTCGACCCGAGCAGCTCTCTTTTTCTGTGATTTTACAGAAAAACAGGCAATGACAGTAAAAATGCCAGGGCTCATTCTACAGGGCCAGGGCATTGCAGGAGAATGTAGGAAGAAGACATTTATCATTTCTATACATGTTTTGGCTGTCAAACTTCCATAATGCCCCTTTAAGGGTTTTTTTCTACAACAGTTTTTTTCCTTTATAAAAGTGCAACAATGTGTTCCACGATTCCTAATGATGTCTGTATTAGAGAGTTATGGCACTTACACACTAGCATAAGCTCTGCTCCGCCGGCTGCAACCTGGCCACGCTAGTTCCACACTGCCTCTGGAATGCGAATGTAATAAGCACATGGGCCATCCCCAAAAGTGGCACAAGAAATTTGCGGCATAAGTGATATCATGAGCACATCTCCAAACATGTGGGTGGGGAAAAAAGAGCGTGGAGAAGTCCACGGGTTCTTACTTATTAAACAAAGGCCTTCTGTGTAGTCCTGCTTTTGCAGACTCTGCCTTAAACTGCACCCTGCTTTGCTGTGTTGCAGCCATTCTGCATTGTCTCTTTAGCCCTTTTTACAAGACACACCGTGCTGGCAAATATTACCGCAATGGTGTGCCTTATAAACTTGTCATGCCGGCATGCCGTTATGCAAATTTAGCTGTGCCTTTGCGCCTCGCTTCATTGTAATATTGCGGTAATTGTCTGTCTTATAAACAGGCATTGTGCCTTTTCGCAACAGAGCGAGGTGACCTGATGACGCTGAGTTTCTGCCGAGCTCCGGCCAGCAACTATATTGAAAGTGAAAATAAACACAGGCCACATTTTTTTCTTTTTGTACAAAATCAGCTGAGACAGCAAACTGGTGCGCTACAGCGCTCCTAGAGCCTTTCTCCGTTAGAGCTGGAGGTCAGCTCACCAGAGGCTGCACGGGTGACTCACTGGGACAGACAGCTTTAGGAGCGGCCTGTTAAAAAGAAAAAAAATGACCGATTGTGGCTTTGGTTGCAATAAAAGCAAGTTATGTCAAAGATAAATAGAAGTCTGCTTCAGCGCTGAGCGCCCCATACCCCCTTCATGCCGCCATCCCCGAATCGTTTATAAATGGGACACGATTGTGCCACATTACCGCCACGGTCTGACAACTTACAAATGACCTGTTGCTCCCTGATGCTGCCATGGCGTTGCAGCAAATTGACTGCATTGTTTTGTAAAAACAGCTGTGTGTGTGTGTGTCTGTCTGTGCACTCCTCACAGCAGAGACATAGAAAATGACTTTAGTCAGAAGCTTGTGAAGTCCTTAGATTCCAGAATGATAATGAAGCGTGTGTGCTTGAAGCCTTCGCTGGCTGATACTATCTGCTAATCGGAGGCTCCCCCTATAGTCAGCGTGAATTTGAGCTGGCTAATCTGTCGACAGAGGGTGTGTTGGACCGGTTTTGGCCCGTGGCAGACCACTTTGGGAAGAAAGCTAAAAACATGTTCGTTTGGGTGCGAGAAAGTCCCGGGTTTCCAGGACGTGAACATAAATTACTCTGACTAGCCTATGCAGAGCTGATGCTAGTGTCTAAGTACCATTAGTGCCAGAAAGTGCATCATGATGTGTCAGAAGTCCCCATAAAGTGTTTTATACACAACACAAATATAAATGCAACACTTTATGCTCTAATTTTTTATGAGCTGATCACAAAGAGCTAAAAAAAAATTGTTTTATTCACAAAGGACCCTTACACTCGGATGTTGTTCACAAATCTGTCTAAATCTGTTGGTGAGCACTTCTCCTTTGTCGAACCAACCCATGAATGTATGTATGTGCATGAGTGTACGTGTATATGTATAAAAAAAATGTTCATAGTTGATGTAAATTTTGTACATCAACAACAATCCCATTTAAACACCTTGTGTGTTTTGTGTCTAGCAGTTCTGTTTGTGATCATGCCCCATACAACCTGTTTGCTATAAACAGCAATGTTTTTTCAAAATGATTTATCTTTTGCAGTCTGATTTATTCTTTTTCTTATTGTTTTTGTCGATTTTTGCCTGAACCTTTTAGAATATTTCTAGTATTACCTTAAAAATATGTATTTTTCTTTCCACGAGTTTTTTCATAATTTCTTTTGCTAGACTTTCAGAGGAGTTTAATGGGAGAGACATTTGATTGAGGAGGACAAAAAGTGTAAGTTTTTTATGTTTCAAATAATTTTTTAACAGCTTGAATCTAGATAACTTCTTTTATTGTCAAAAAAATCACATCTTTTTAATATCCTGTTTTAAAATCTCATCCTATTCGTTTTAGTTTGTACATGTAACTGTGTAGCTTAACTCAACAACTCTTATGTATGGATTTTTTTGTAGATGAAAAACCTTGATCTTGAAGACTCCAGTGAACTGTTTGACTCTTTTTCAGGAAGTGGAGAGGAATGCATCCCAAATACCTCTGAAAGTAATAGTTGGAGTGATTCTAGCCTGAAAACAAAAGACAGGCATCCTTTTAAGATGAATGATTTGAGTTCAAAAGCTCTTGTCTGTAACAGCATTTCTGACAATGTTAACTCCAGCAGATTAGGAAACTGAATCTGATGAAGAACCCAATTCAAGTCAACCCATCGTTTTGAAGGCATACTGAACAAAAGCAGGAAAAAGAGCATACAACAAGCGACATACTTGCTTGTACTGGTGCAGATCATATGCAAAGATGGCAAGGCATCTGGAATGTGCCCATCAAGAAAAATGTGATGTGGCTAAAGCTCTGAACTTTCCGCCAGGGTCAAAAGAAAGAAAACTTCAGCTTAATTATATTCATGACAGAGATAACTGCTCATAATGCTGAAGTTATGGAGTCAGGAACGGGAGAGCTAGTGCCATTTAAGCGACCATCAAGTGAAAAACAAGGCGATGACTTCCTACATTGTGCATTTGTCAAGCACTTTTCACAAGAAAGGTGTTATGGTGACACATGCACAATTGCAAACTCAAAAGTGAATCTGGTACTCCAAAACCAGGGAAAACCCGTGTACAGTCCTTGTGTAAATACACGTCACCTGTGCCTTCCAACATAAGTACCGGTAAGCAACTGTGGAAAGTAATCAGTGCCATGAATCATGACCCAGTTACAGAAACCGTGAAACATGACAGAGTCATTATTGATATTGGGCAATACTTCCTAAATAAAGGTGGTACATCAGACAGGAATCAACAATGTGTGCGAGAGAAGATGCGAGAAATGGGAAGATTGCTATACAATGCCCGGAAAGTTACAACTATTACTAAAATGGAAGATCTCATCGATCCAACTCATTACATGGAGACTGTCAAAGCTATTCAGTTTACATGTGGTTATGACAGTGAAACAAGCAAGTATATCATTCTATCACTTGCAACCAAGCTTGGGAATACCCTGGTAAAAATAAGCAAGCTCTTAAAAGCACAGGGGTTGATTTCAAATAACAACGAGCTTGTAAAAAAAAGCCACTGAGTTTCTTGATGTTCATTAGGAAAAGTGGAATGAGTTGATCTCTGCTACTGCATTAAGGAACATCAGGGAAGCTAAGTGGAATGTGCCCACTCTCATGCCATTTACTGAGGATGCCCATAAGTTGCGCAAGCATTTGAATGTTGTTCAAAGTGAGTGGTACAATACACTCTCTGAATGTACATCTACAAAAGCTTGGACAGAGCTGACAAAGATTTGTCTTGTTCAGGGCATTCTTTTCAATCGCCGGAGGGAAGGAGAGGTGGCTAGCATGCCTTTGTCGACATTTTTATCAAGAGACACCTCTGATCCACATGAAGATATGGACTGGGAACTCTCTGAAGTAGAGAAAAAACTCTGCAGATACTTCTCAAGAGTTGTCACAAGGGGAAAGCGAGGACGTCCAGTTCCAATTCTCCTTAAGCAAGAAAGGCTTAGTTCATTGGAACTTCTTACCAAGCAGAGAGACCTGTGGAGTTTTTAAAGACAACATTTACATGTTCGCAAGACCAGAGGACATAACACATTTTCGAGGCTCCGATTGCCTCCGTGTTTTTGCAACAGCCTGTGGGACAAAGTGTTCAAAGTCACTGACATCAACCAGACTCAGAAAACATGCAACACTTTCAACGGTCCTGAACATGACAGACACACAGATTGATCAACTGGCCAACTTTCTTGGACACAACATCAGAATTCATTGTGCGTTTTACCTGAGAAGACCCTGCAACTTGACAAAATCAGCAAAGTTCTAATGGCTCAGGAACAAGGAAGATTAGCTGAGTTTCATGGCAAAAACTTGGATCAGATTCAAATAGAGCCTGATTGCATGTTCTTATAAAAAATGCTTTATTTGTTTGTCTTTTATTTTTCCCTATTAGTTGAGCTATTATTTGTAATTTAAACAAAAAAAAAAAGAAATTCTGGACACTGATGAGGAAGATGAGACTCAAAAGGAAGCGAACATTTCAGCTACTTTTGATGGTAGGAGTTGCTAATGCCACAGTTTGTGGGTGTGTTGATGGATGTATGAATGGACAGATATTTGTAATTTTCAACAACCAATCAATCAACAAATTATTCTAACAGGCCAATCAGCAAAGGAAGCAATTCCTCCTCCAGAGAAGAATGAGACTGTACCACTGCCATCCAGGAAACGTAACCCACCCTCATCAGATGAGGAAATTCCATCCTCTTCAAAAGGTTGCACAATTTTCTCTTTAAAATATGGTCCATTTTTTGCAAATGAAATGCTGGCGTAAACATTAAAATGAAAGTAACACATTTTTAACAAATGAAACAGCAGTCATAAGAACATAAAATATTGAACATATCTTACTGAGAAGATAAGTACTAAACTTCAATAGATTCCAGGAAATATGGAAATGTTGCAATTTCACCTTTCTCATCATCATTATTAATTACAATTTACACCTTATGGCTGTTACACCTGATATTTTTAAGTCTCTAAAATATCTAGAAAGGGTGGTCCCCACAACTGATGATCCTAACTTTGGTCCCCATCAAACATGGAAACGAGTATGTGTGTGTGTGTGTGTGTGTGTGTGTGTGTGTGTGTGTGTGTGTGTGTGTGTGTGTGTGTGTGTGTGTGTGTGTGTGTGTGTGTCTGTGTGTGTGTGTGTGTGTGTGTGTGTGTGTGTGTGTGTGAATGAATACTATTACGCCCAGTTTTGTTTTTGGCCAGTTGAATGTGGCTAAAACTACAGGTTTTACCGTCACTACCAACCAGTTTAAATAGACTGTGCGTCTTAGCATATGCTGCTTCCGGGGGAAAAACTCCTGTAGAGCGTTTCACTTCTGTTGTGAGCCGCTGCATGTTTATGCTAGGATTTACGGTCGGGTTTTCCATCAGAAGTAAGCCAAATGGCTGAATTAAGCAGCAATTTAAACTTCTAAAGATGTCTCGGGCATTTGCAGAATATATTTGTAGATGATATTCATCGACTTGTTGATCATTTTTCCCCTGCACCTCAGAGCAAAAAAGAAAGCTGCTGATTGAGCTCCTCGATCTCCCTTGACATAGATTCATATTTAATGCGATCTACGACAACCAAAGAGCTTGCTGCATAATCATGATCTTCAATCATAGGGATGGGGGCTGGAGCAGACTCAGCATAACCCGTGATAGGGATATTGGTGTTTCCATCCTCTGTGTTGTCGTCCTCGGTTGCCATAGCCACGGTGTCAACAGGCCTAGGGCGGCGCTCCCAAACTCCGGGTCACTCTTACTTTTTCATGAAGTCATTCCAGTGGAATAACGACGGAACAACTTATGGCTGAAGACACTGATTTCCAGGGGAAGACAAGAAGATCTCGCCAGTCTCAAAATGCCGACTACACACTCACGAGCTGGCCGTAACTCTGAAGCGGTCCCATCTGATTTTTATCAGCCATTGTGCCCGCAACTCAGGATCTTTGGGAAAGGAGTGAAAACTAACCATTTTGTTCAATCTCCCCCCCAGCAGTACACAGCGGAACGCAGCAGTGATGAGTGTTCCCACCATCTGCTCATTGTAGTTTAATGCGATCATTCCGTTGTTGTAATTTTTGACATGACTTTTGAGTCCACAACAGTAGCGATTCAGCAAAACAAAAGCACAATAAAGTTAGCGGAAATGAACAGCTCTTCATACTGTCTCATAACAGGAAGTTAGCCTTTTCTCGTGCACAGGGTCTATTGGTTGTAGTATTTGACTTGGTCTCTCATCTTACCTCCAGGATGACATCTGTCCTGGATGGACAGCGCCCCCTGCAGAAGCTGACTTTTACATTATCCAGTCGACAGCCTCCCTTGGTGAAGTTCCGAACCTGATCAAAGCGCTGACACTCTGGGGTAGGCTCACCTGGTGGAAGCAAAGGGGGGCAGAGATGGAAGAAAGAGGGCAAATGGAAGTAAAAGTACTTTTGCATTAATATAAAAGAAGAGAAACAATGAAGTTGAGTTAGGCAGTTATCAGCAGAGAGGTCGGTGTATTCCCTTAAGCTTGGTTTATGCTTGACGGATTTACTTTCCGCTTGGTGATGCGGCTCGCGGATGGAACGCGCTTCACAACTCGCAGCATTTATGGTTCATGCGGCTTGTCTCTAAGGTGAGGCAAAAATCTCCCAAACTGTAGGGGGCAGCATGGAGCTCTACAGCATGCATCCAACACTACACCAGAGTAGAAGTAAAAATTACTGTTTACAACATGGCATTCCAGCATTTTTTAACAGCGTCCTCGTCTTTTCCGACAGTGCGAGCTATTTCTCTCCAAGAACTATTAACAACATGTTGATCACGGTGATCTTTGAGAGCTGAATCATACAAATGTCTGTATTTACGAACCTCTGCCATCCTAGTTCTTGCCAGTCTTGCAGTGTTTTTCTGCGTCCGACCGTCCGCGTGGTGAGAAAATTTCCCAGGTGAGCGGTACGGAAAGTTTAGGCCGTGCGGAGACGCGGTGGAGGGGCGTGGTTGTTAAAATGACGCAAATTTTCCACGCGGAGCCGTGCGGACCTCGCGGACGTGTCAAGCATATACCAACCTTGACTAATGAGACTGCAGCTCTGACAATGTAGTCTTCTAGAAAACAAGTGTTGTATACTCCAGTCTGCTCATGCACCACTGGTGGCTTTTGTTGACTCAATTGTTTGTGTAGGGGTTATGTTGTGTTGGCTCTGGAAGTAAAGCTGTGGTGTTTGAGCATGTTCTCAGACAAAAGAGAATATTTCCTGTGGGAGTCAAACACTGAAGCATTAACCAGAGAGTCAGACATGTCTGCATATTGAACCAACCTGGGAAGGGCTTTCTGCAGACTGGACAGCAGCTTCCTGGCTCTTCCACTTTCACTTGCCCCTGAAAGATCCCATCATGTGTTTTAATGACAATTCAAATTACACAGCAGGACAGATGATGGAGCACTTATGGTGAATATTGCTGAAAGTGTATGTTTTGTTATTTTAAACCATGAAAATGTCGTCTCTACCATTCTTTTGGTTCTTGCCACTTCTGGAACACCTGAGGTATAATTTGTGGACCCATTTGGTCTGTATTTAACTCATTCACTGCCATTGACGACTAAAGTCGTCATTTTAAATCCAACCATTCACTGCCATTGACGACTAAAGTCGTCATTTTAAATCCAACCATTCACTGCCAATGACGACTAAAGTCGTCATTTGCATTTTTTTTTACTGTGTGGGCGTCGGAACGAGCCCCAGCACCGTGAGAACACACGTCTCAGCTCTAAAACCGAGCTTCATCAGAATCAGAATCAGAAAAGGTTTATTGCCATTGCCAGTGAACAAACAATTCACAAACTAGTAACTTGCTTTGGTACTAATGTGCTACATATAACATTAACACACAATAAGAATAAAAATAGAGTAAATCTTTCAGCTATAAAAATGGCAGGTAATGGTAACATGGCCGATAACGTGACGATGTGTCGAGTACAGAAGACGAGCATGGTTGCGTGTTTATAAGCTATTCACAAGTCCAACGGCAGATGGAAAGAAGCTGTTCTTGTGGCTGGAGGTTCTGGTCTGGATGGACTGTAACCTCCTGCCTGAGGGAAGCGGCTCAAAAAGTCTGTGACCCTGGTGCGAAGGGTCAGCTGCTATCCGACCTGCACGCCCCCGAGTCCTGGAGGCGTACAGGTCCTGGAGAGATGGAAGGCTGCAGATAATCACCTTCTTAGCAGAGCGCACAATGCACTATAGTCTATGTTTGTCCCTTACTGTGGCTCCAGCGTACCACACAGCGATGGAGGAGGTGAGGATGGACTCAATGATGGCCGTGTAAAACTGCACCATCATCTGGGCCGGCAGCTTGGCCTTTTTCAACTGCCGCAGAAAGTACATCCTCTGCTAGGCCTTTTTGATCAGGGAGCTGATGGATGGCTCCCACCTAAGGTCATGTGTGATGGTGGTTCCGAGGAAGCGGAAGGAGTCCACAGTGGTGACGGGGGTGTCCGTCAGGATGAGAGGGAGAGATGGGGCTGTGACTTTCCTGAAGTCCACAATCATCTCCACTGTCTTCTGAGCATTGAGCCCCAGGTTGTTGCTGCTGCACCAGGACACCAGCCGATCCACCTCCTTCCTGTAGGCGGACTCATCACCGTCAGAGATGAGCCCGATGAGGGTGGTGTCATCCACAAACTTGATCAGTTTAACGGAGTCATGGCTCGAGGTGAAGCAGTTTGTGTACAGGGAGAAGAGCAGAGGAGAAAGTACACAGCCCTGTGGAGATCCTGTGCTAATAGTCTGAGTGGTGGAAACATTCTTCCCCAGCCGCACGCACTGCCTACGGTCTGTCAGGAAGTCAGTGATCCACCTGCAGGTGGAATTGGGTACGTTGAGCATGTCCTGGAGCAGAGCAGGGAGGATGGTGTTGAACGCAGAGCTGAAGTCCACAAACAGGATCCTAGCGTAGGTTCCTGGGGAGTCCAGGTGCTGCAGGACGAAGTGGAGGGCCAGGTTGATGGCGTCGTCTACAGACCTGTTGGCTCTATATTCGAACTGACAAAAAGCCATAGCCACTGCCCCCCCAAACTGCAAAATAAAACTATGGAAACACTACATAGATGACATAGTGGAAATCATACCAAAAGGACAAACAGAAACACTAACACAACACTTGAATAACATTGATGACACAGGCAACATAGTTTACTTATGAGTCAGAAACAGAAGGCAGTAGCATTTATGGACATGAAAATAACCAGACAGACCGACGGGACCCTAAACATAAACACATACAGGAAACCAACACACACAGACCAATATTTATTATGGACATCAGAACACCCCACCATACACAAAATGTCAGTAATCAGAACATTATATCACAGAGCAAACATGATAACAGAAGAAAGAGACCGTAAACAAGAGGAAAAACACATACAACATGCTTTAAAGACCTGCGGATACCTGACATGGGCAATAAACAAAGGAAAACAACAACAGAAAGAAAAGAACAACCTAAGCAAAGAACCAGAAACCCAGAAAGACAAGAACCAAAACCAGTGATAACCCTACCATACATCAAAGGCCTAACAGAAAAAATAAGAGCAACAATGAAAAAACACAACATAAACACACCAACAAAACCATACACAACAGTTAGAAACAGACTAGTGCACCCAAAAGACAAAATATCAGCTGGACATAAATGTGGAGTCATTTATGAAATCCCATGCAAACTCTGCAATAAAACATACATAGGAGAAACCGGACGCCAACTCAACACACGAACAACAGAACATAGAAAGGAGCGCGAGAAAGAGGCAAATCGAAAACACACAAGAGCAGCAAAAGAAGAAGCAGAAAGCACAATAAAGAAGTCAGCCGTAACAGATCACTGCACAAGAGAAAACCATGTAATGGACTGGGATCATAAACACCGAACAACAGAAATACAAAAGATGGATAAAAGAAGCAATCGAGATAAGGAGAAGTGGATGTGGGACCATGAACAGGGACGATGGAGTTAACACGTTGGAACGCGCATGGGACTGCATCATCGGAGAGGAGAGAGTGGGCAGCAGAGGGCGACAACATCCTCTGCTGCCCGCGGATAAACAGAGAAGGAAGTGACGCCACCATCAGCGTCAGTCTGAGGAAGTTTGCAGCCGCAAATGAAACGTAGCAGGAAAACAGGTAAACAAAACTGCTCTGTGTTTTAAAAAAGAACTACAGCATGGAATTAGAGATACGACACAGCAAGAACACACCTAAGATGTCCATTCTTACATTGCAGACCTGGACTTCAAGGAACTCTTCAACTTAAGCCTGAAACAATCCTGGTCTACGCAACCGGGACTCTCAGTCCACGGACAAGCCCTTTGATGAAAAACGCCTCAGCTTCTGCTATAGTTAGAGCTGCATAAATTAATGCTACCTGTTCATTTTTTCCTCATTCAAAGAAACAGTCGTGTGCGGCCTGAAGCTTTAAGTTGATCTGATGTTTCAATAAACTCTACTGATGTTTTCTGTATATTATATGGTCTTGCTAATCCTTAGTTATCTCTTTATAGGAACTGCTATAAATTGTAGAATTGTTGCATCACAGTAAATTCACATCAATATGTATGAAATAGCTCTTCTTAAGTTCATGATGGTGTTGATTCAACTGATTTCCATCATCTCAGTTGTATCTCTGTAAACTGCTGTTTGATGTTATTGTCAGTTGTGTTTGCCTTATTGTGTTTTATTTGTTCTTTATTATTTTACTTATTTGTTCTTTGTTTTGTTGTTATCTTTTTGGTTATCCTATACGGATAAACAGGAGAGATTATGTTATATAAATTTTATGTTTTATTATTTCTTGATCAATAATCCAAACTGAATGTATTACTCCATGCCTGAAAGCATTCTCACACACTCAGACACACCCACACATTCTTGTTACCTTGTAACTTCCCATACACACACACACACTCTCACTCCCATACACACACAGACTGTCTTATCTTTTGTTCTTGTACAAATAAACTCTCAGGGCAGAATCTCTCGGCAGTTGCCTTGAACTTCTGCCCCTGATTGCAATTTGGTGACTTGTCTGCTTAATTGTCTCTCCTCTCCCTCTAGCTGCAGGTATTGGGTTATTGATAAAAACCCTAACAGTACTGAACGAGACTTTACATTAAACAATGTGTAAAAGGTAAGAAAATTATCCAATCAAAGTTTAATTACAACAATCCAATGAGACATAGCCTGGGTTTGTATTCTGAACAGTTTAAACATGTTTTAAAAGGAGACGTGTGACACGTCAAAAAGCAGCACCTGCTCATCTAGAAACCACTAACAGGGTGAAAAATATTGTAGCATGGACGAGCTACAACTTCTGGATCAGTTTTATACAAATTTTTTTATTAATTATCTTCTGTTGAAAGATAACTCTGAGGTACATGAGCGAATGGTATTGGTTGCTGTCACTTGTTGTGATCGGTTAAAGCAGCTCTCGGCTGTCTTTGGGTGGGCCCAAGTGCAAGTGGGTAGGCTCCGCCCACAACGCCACGGCTGCTGCGGATCCCAGTGTCTTCTTTACTGTGGAAATAGGTAATAATGGCTCTCTGACCCGACCCCTGACTTATCCCAACTCTCTGGCTCTCCACACACTTGTCTAATGTTCTGGTTCTTCTTCATCTCCTCCTCTCTTCATCTCTGTAGGAAATCCCTCTTGCTCATGGTTCATTTGCACACCTTTCCCTAACTCCTACAGTGTTCTTCCTTCTTGTAGCTCAGTTCCTTGTTCCTGAACTCTGATCTTTCCAGATCTTCAGATCGACATTTAATTTAGTTTCTGTCAATAAATCCTTTTTTAAAGATCTTCTGGTCTTCTGAGAGTTTAAACTGCATGCAAAACTGTGAGTGAGCTGAGTCAGCAGTGGCGGTTTTACCATTAGGCATAAGTTGGCGGCCGCCTTAGCCCTGACCGCCGGCACCCCTCGTTAATGCCACAGTGGACTATTCCTTTAAGACGGCAATGCACAAACAGGAAACCATTGGTATTCATTCCACTCCAATACAGTTGGTGGCAGTAATGCACCAAATTGTTGTTGGCCAAGTGCCATAAGACCACAAATAAGAAGAAGAAGAGAGGAAAGTGGAGAAAGGAGGAGCATGCCCTGACGGCCGATCACCGGATACACGCCAGCCTTTGAAGCTGTTGGCAGCTCGTTAACAAACATCCACAAATAATTAAGACGCATTTTCGCCAAATTTATTTACTGACAACGCAAAAAATAATCTGGTAAGTATATCTCACTCAACCTGGAGGTAAGTGGAGAAAATTTAGAAAGTTTACAAAATTATATTGACGAAGTTTTTGAGTTTTTCGTTATGGGTCCAAAAAAATCATCAGCTGAGACCGAAACACCAGGGACCAAGAGGAGCCGTCCTCAGGACTCGCCTGAGGCCTCATCTCCCCATAAGACATATTAGAATTATTAGATTCTATAGATAAACGGCTTCTGGGATTTGAGGGGCGACTTCATCTGCTTGAGGTTCTACACCAGGAGTTTCAGAAACTCAGTCAGTCTCTGGAGTTCAGCCAGGAGTAGGTGGAGCGGCTCGAGGCTGAGAATGCGTCTCTGCGGGAGTCCGTTTCTTCCCTGGAAGAGGGAATGACGCAGATCACCCAGGACAACAAGATTCTGAAGGAGACGGTTTTGGACCGTATTCTAGATTATATCACCCCTTCATCACCACCTCACACCCCTATCACCTTTTCTTTTTAATTCTTTCTTCTTCTTTAACCTTTATAATTCTTTCATTTCCTCTCTTTACCTGCTTCTGTACCTTTACACCTGTATGGCACAACCACACAACTTTCCAACACTGCGTCAGACTCAGCAGGCACACACGTCCACACACACACACACACACACACACACACACACACACACACACACACACACACACACACACACACACACACATACATACATATATATATATGTATATATATATATATATATATATATATATATATATATATATATATAATCCACAGCACAATATTATAATTTATGTGTCATATAATGCAAACACAAACACTGTTGGATCTTTATCATTATTATTATTATTATTTACTTTTCTGTTATTTATTAACATACTATTTATACATTTATATACTTATTCCATCTTATTCACATGAAGGCGTCATATTTTAGCTACTCACACACACATCTATGGGTGCACTAAGATTTGTCTCATGGAACGTACATGGAGCTGGCTCCAGAGAGAAAAGATTAAAGATTTTTGATCAGCTAAAGAGAGTGCAAGCAGACGTAATATTGTTACAAGAGACTCATAGATCTGCCACATCCGCAGATGAACTTAAAACACCTGAGTTTCCCAGCATGTTCTCTGCCTGCTATAACTCCAGGCAAAGAGGTGTAGCTATTTTAATACACAAAAACATCAATTTCACAGTATTGGACACAGTCTCTGATCCAGAGGGTAGATTTATAATGTTAAAAATATCTGTACAGAACCAAATTATGTCAGCATATACTGTCCAAATATTGATGACCCTCCATTCTTTCATAATTTTTTCTCTGCACTCTCCGAACACTTGGACTGTCCACTTATACTTGGAGGTGATTTTAATTTTTGGATGAACTCTTTAACAGACAGGCTCAGTACAACTGGGACTCAGCGCAATTGGCAATCCACTAATATAGTTAAACAGTACATGAGTGATTATGGGCTTTGTGATGCATGGCGATCTCTTAATCCTAGCCGTAGAGAGTATACTTTTTTCTCACACGTCCATCACTCTCATTCACGTTTGGATTATTTTCTAGTCAGCAGCTCATTGTTGGCTGACATTTCAGACACTGAGATACACCCCATAGTTGTCAGCGACCATGCTCCGGTCTCATTAACTCTGGTAAATAAGAAGACAATACCACCGAGCAAAAACTGGAGGTTTCATACATCACTGCTCAAAGACGAAGGTTTTATAGAATTTTTTAAAAAGGAGTGGGCTTTATATTTGGAACATAATGACCTGCCTGGAACATCAGCATCTATTCTCTGGGAGGCAGGAAAGGCAGTGATGAGAGGTAAAATAATCTTTTTTCTCATCACATAAGAAAAAAACAGAAAACAAACGTATTCAGGAGTTAGAGGAAATCATTAAGTCTTTAGAGGCATCCACAGAAGAAGAGTTACTGAGCAAATTACGTAAAGCTAAATTAGAACTTCTTGGAATTATTGACAAAAAGACACACTTTTTAGCACAAAGACTACGAATAGAAAACTTTGAACATAGTAATAAATCAGGTAAATTTTTGGCTAGCCAGTTAAAAATTAATAAAGAGAAAACTACCATATCTGCTGTTTAAGGCTCAACTGGGAATATAGTTTATGACCCTGAAAGCATAAACAACACTTTCAGAGACTTTTACCAAACTTTGTACTCAACACAGATAAACCCATCAAATAACGAGATCAATGAGTTCCTTGACAGGATAACACTTCCTAAATTATCAGACAGCCAAGTTACAGTTGCAGCCAGTGTTATTAACTGAAAAATAGTAAATGATTACTTGTCTTCACAATCACATTTTTCTTTATTATTGGTCTCTCCATTTGTGCTTCAATTTCTGATGCATTTTCATGTTGATACAGCAACCAGCAACGTATTGTAAAAAAAAAATTCCCAAATAAAACTAATAATGTAAAAAGTTTATAACCCATTTCAAACTGTGGGGAATATTTTTAAAACGTAGAATCAAACAAACTGAAATAAACCCGTCTACAGCTCGTCAAGCTTGTCTAAACCTTCCTGCTCATAATCAACAAGCTGCACACAGTTAGCTCATTAAAGGTTATCTAGCTAAAACTGGCAACATAAAATAACATTGTTGGCTTATTTTGGTACGAAGCGGTCAGTTAACGCTTCACAATGCAACACAATGGTGACATCATCAACTTACCGAAGAAAATCCTTCCGAAACACCGAAAATGAATTGCGGTCAATGCAGCAGTGGGGCTGTTTGGAACCATTTGAAGCTACATGAACCACGTGACTTCCGCATTCCATTCGTTTCATAAAGTCTGAGTATCGTAACTCTCTCTCTATATGTAGCTCTGGTGGCTCCAATAAGAGAAAGAAGCAGATTGCTTCAAAAATTGACATCGTTTTTCTATGTAAACATCAAAAGGAAGCAGAAAGGAAAGACAATGGAAAATGTTTAAAGGGAGGAAAGCATAAACGAAAATGGAAAATAGAAGAAAAAAAAGAGAAAGGCAAAAGCACAGGAGCACTGACAGGAAAAAGAAAGCACTCACAGGGAGAGAAAGACATGAAAAAAGGAGTAATAAAAAAGGAAAATAACTCTTGTCAGAAGAGGGGAGAGTTTCACAAATCCAGTTAAAAACTGGACTGTCAAAAATTTAGTGCAAGTGGGCCCTCTGACTCAGAGCCAGGAACACTTGCTGTCCTCCTAAACTAGAATCACTTGGCCTTTACCAAGTAGCCCAAGATCTCAAATCAAAGTTTAAAATACAGATTGATTCAATTACCAGCATTTCATGTGAATGATAAATGTATGCCAGTGAAGAAACAAGTAGATTCAAAAATCAAAAGTGTGCTGCCGGTGAACGATGTGAAGTGGCAGCACGCATGTAAGGGTTAGGGTTAGGGGTTAGGGTTGGTGCCATTGATGGTAGGGATCTTTAGGTGGATGAGTTGGAGAGGAACTGGGCATTGGTAAAGGCAACCTAAAGCTAACGATAGTCGTTTCCTCCTACAGGACAAATGTTGGATTGATTAGTGATGTTTGGAAACCTGCATGGTGTCCCACACTGGAGATAAGCCAACAGGCAGGAACAGATCCATCCATGTTACAACAATCAGTGAAATCAGAATAACAGCAGTGAAGCATGACAGTAGGGATTCTGTATCTCACCTCCTCACAGTGAAGGGGAGGACACCTCAGCCGGCACAATCTTCTCCCGTTCACACAGGTGCATGTCAGGCAGCCATCATCCCACACAGACCCCACCTGGCTCACACACACACACACACACACACACACACACACACACACACACACACACACACACACACACACACACACACACAGGGGGGTTAGAAAGGAATGCAAATCTGGTATCTGGTCAGTTGAGCGCAGCAGTATCTCAGGAGGTACAGCGGGTTGTCCAGTAATCGGAAGGCAGCAGGTTCGATCCTGGCTCCCTGCAGAGAATGCTGCTGTTGTGTCCTTGGGCAAGACAATTGAACCACCCCAGGGCAGCTGTGACTACATTCTAGCACATCACCAAGGTGTGAATGATACACTGTAGTGTATGTGTAGCACTTCGGAGTCTTTGCAAGTCAGGTGCATGTCATTTATCATGTATTCTTGTGTTTCTCCCTTCCTTCTATAATTGAGATATCAAAAATCATTCAGGAATTGGAATCTTCATTCTGCCAGCTTGACCCTTTCCCTATAGTGTTAGGTAAAGCTTGTCTCCCCTATTGGTCCTCCCTCAGTACTAGAGTGTTTCCCTCTTCACTGAAAACTGCCTGTATAACTCCATTTTTCAAAAAGCCTGGTGCTGATCCCAATAACTTTAGCAATCTTCGTCCAATATCTAAACTTCCTTTTATCCACAAAATCCTGGAGAAAAGTGTTGTTTTTCAGCTCCACTCTCATCTGAATTACCACATCCTCTATAAACAATTTAAATCTGGTTTTTGACCCCAACGTAGCACTGAAACAGCTTTGGTGAAGCTCACCAGTGATCTCCTGATGGCAGCTGATTCTGGTCTTCTCACCATTTTCATCCTACTTAGTCTTAGTGCAGAATGTAATGCCATTTCTCATGATTTTCTCCAGAAAAGAATAGCATATAATGGCATTAGTCATACTCCCCTGGCCTGGTTTACCTCTTTCTGGCCACACTCAAATTATTCAAGTCAAATCCCACTCATCAAGATGGTTCCCTGTTGCTGCAGGAGCGCCCCAAGGAACAGTTACGCTTCCTCTTAGAAAAATCCATCCATTCATTTTCAGCTGCTTATCCAGAGTTGGGTCATGGACACAGCAACCAAAGCCAAGTCCCTCCAACGTGTCTTGGGTCTTCCCTTGGATCTCCTCCCAGTTGGACATGCCTGGAAAACCTCACCAGGGAGGCGTCCCGGAGGCATACTGACCAGATGTCCGAGCCACCTCAACTGGCTCCTCTCGATGTGGAGGAGCAGCCGGTCTACTCCGAACCCCAGATGACAGAGTTCCTCACCCCATCTCTAGGAAGAGCCCAGACACCCTGCAGAGAAAACTAATTTCGGCCGCTTGTATCTTCACTCTTGTTCTTTTGGTCACTACCCAAAGCTCGTGACCATAGGTGAGAGTAGGAACGGAGATCGACCGGTAAATCAAGAGCTTTGCCTTCTAGCTCAGCTCTCTTTTCACCACAACAGGACGCAGCACCAATCCGCTTGTCAATCTCACACTCTATTTTCCCACCATGCATGAACAAGACCAACTAGTCCACCTCTCACCTGAAAGAGCTTGACTTACTGCCGGCAATGCAGACCAAGCTTTGACATCAGTCATATAAAGACATAACAGCTCGTATCAAAGGGCCTGGTACCCAATACTCCCTGAGTACCCCCCACAGGACCTCCTGAGGGGCGCGGTTGAACGCCTTCTCCAAATCCACAAAACACATGTAGACTGGTTGGGTGAACTCCTACGCACCCTCCAGGATCCTCCTAAAGGGATAGAGCTGGTCCAGTGTTACACGGCCAGGGTGAAAATCACATTGTTCATTCTGAACCTGAGGTTCGACAATCCGCAGACCAATGTCCTCTCTTTGGGCTGTGCCTGGCCGGGCTCTATGGGTAAAAGCCTGGCCACCAGGCACTCGCCAACATGCCCCAACTCCAGGCCTGGCTCCAGAGGGGGCCTCCTGTGATCCGCGTATGGGCGAGAGAACAGTGTTTCCATTTATGTTAATCTTCATAACTGGTCTAGGGGCTGCTCTTTGTCTGATCCCTTACCTAGGACGTGTTTGCCATGGGTGATCCTACCAGAAAAAGCCTCAGACAACTTAGCTCCAAGGACCATCAGGACACTCAAACCCCTTCACCACAGTAAGGTGGCAGCCCACCAATAAGATAAATGAGATATTGGGTGATAACTTGCCAAGGAGTCAATGTCTAGTCCAATTGTCTTCACGGTAGGATTGACCACGGCTGTTCTATAGCATCTAGTTTCAATGAAGGGGCTTAAGGGAGGCACTGAAAAATTGATGATTTATATGGATCTAGCGTCGGCCACAACTCCTTAAAATGAGAGTCGGGGCCTGAGTGGAGACGTATTTCATCCACACTTCCTGTTAGGAAAACGTTTTTGAAAGAGGCGTCGCCTGGTGGACCGAGAGAGCGGCACTGAGGCAGTGGTAGACTGCACCCCCCTCAACCCCCCGCGTGTGCTGTCGGAGTTTCTCAGTCTGAAAACAAGTTGTTCACGAGTGCGTGCACACTCGTGCGTGCACACACTCACACAAGACTTACCACTCAGGAGAAAAGCACACAGATTCTGCAGCATTCCGGAGGATTTGATGTTAACCACAATCATTAGATGAAAAGGGGAGGAGGGCATTTTTTTCAAGGAGTCGAGCGGCTTAGAGCGCCATCATGTCATATCAGCAGGTGAGTGGCTGAGCCAGGTGGAGGTGCGGCTGCCTCACCGGAACACCAGTGCAGTACAGCCATGTAGTCATTTGCTGACAATGTTTTTCAGCTTAGCTATCAGCCACAGCTGGTTCTACATAAATGTGGAGCAGAGTTTTAACCTGAAGATGGAGATAGAACTATGGTTTTGGGCTGAAATGTTAAATTTAAAGTAAGTAGCACTAAACTGCTACACTAATGATTACACATGTGTACAGCACCATTAGACACTCATCTGTATACACAACCTGCATACAGGTTCTCAGCAACAAAAGTTAGTTTAGGCGTTACTTGCTCTTTAAGAACCCAGGCAAAGGGTCATGAGGAAAACGCAATCTTCAGTGGAAGAAGGCCCAAAAACAGTGAGAGCTGGCACTTGCCTCACATGTCGGGCTGTGTGATTTATGGATACAGGAACATGATTTGACCTGATCTGTTCCCTGACCGCATCAGTTCTGTGAATGAAGAACTCTTAAACTTCCTCAACAGTCAGGCTGGAACCATTGGTTGATGGTTCTGACACAGTGAGCCTTGAAAGTGTTGAGAAGAAAACGTATGTTGCCGCAAAAAGTTTTGAAAAGTTGGATGCCTTAGCTGCAGCCATTACTGACTGTATGAGAACAGAAAAACAGTGTAACTAGAAAATAAGCACTGGAGAGATTTAAAGTGCTATTTTCAAGTGTATTCATAGCCAGGGGCGGTGTTAGGCCCGGCTACTTGGGCTGAAGCCCCAGATGTTTTATGAAAAGCCCCGGATCTCAAACGTGGAAGTAGCATGCAGTACCAAAGTCCAACAGAGAGGGAGCAGCTGGCAGTAGTTTGTATACAGCCTGCCTGAGCCTCCACCACTGAAGAAGAAGCCCTTCAGCAGCCGGCTTCATCTACACTCTCTGCCTGAAACGCATGAGTGAAGATGGATATAAGGACGTTTTTTAGACCAAAAGTACAACGACAGAACCCCAGCTTTGATGAGACTGGTGTTGACTCAGGTTTGTGAGTCTTATTTGAAAATATTTGTTGTGCTGCTGGTTTGCCTAAAGTTAGCTTACTACCAGGTAAAGTTGTTGGAGAAAGAAAGGGAATATTTACTATCATCTCACACTAAACACTAACAGGAACAATACTCTGCCCTGAAAATGCTTAATATGTAGCTTCAGATTAAAAATTATGTAGTACAAGACAGTCCTTGGTTTATTGATGATGACATTCACAATGACATGAGTACACGAGTACACACAAGTACACATATTGACAGCTTGTTCATCCTCATGCTCGTCTTACAACCATGGGGAGCAGAACTGTGAATCGCTCTGCTCCCCGGCTCCAGAACTCACTTCCTCCACTCAGTAGAAAGAAACACTGACTCTTATTTTATGTAAGACAGCAGCAAACACATCTGTTCAAGCAGGCATGTCCACCTCAGACAGAGATTTTACCTGTTTGATTTTATAACAGAACTACTTTGCTCTGAAATATTTCTGTTTCATCTGTAAAAGGTGACCTTGGGAAAGGTGCCCTTAGGAATCAGTTATGCTAAATAAACCAGGGCTAGGGCGCAACAAAATGATCAAGAGCAAGGCATCACACCTCTTCTCAGCCTGGGATGAACCTTTAATATCATCACTTTTAGAAATAATTCCTTGTAGTCCTGTCCAGTTGCAGTTTCAGCAGGGCTTCATACGTAAGGCATCAGCTGTGGGAACAAAGAAGCCTCGTGTGATGTCACACGGTGCCCACCACTCATCTGGGAGGCACTTTTTCCACGAATAACTAACGTAAACACCTGAGCACAATGGGTCACAGTGTGTGTGTGTGTGTGTGTGTGTGTGTGTGTGCACACCTGTCGTATGATGTCCTGGTCATGGCAGGGGCAGTGTGCTGGGATGACACACACACCCTCCAGGTTTCGGTAAAGCCCATCCCGACACACACAGCCCTCAGCAGAATGGCTGCAGTTGTCCAGAGCGGACGAGTAAATGTCCTGGCAGCTCCTCTCACACGTGCTCCTCCTCCACTGCTCCCCATCAGGACAAGCTAAGCAGCAGGAGGAAAGGGGCAATTACTTCTTGCTTCAAAATCTCCAAACTTATATAAAAAAATAAGCAAGTTCATTTGAAAATCAGATAAATGCAGCTTCATCAGATGTCAATAATAAAAATGTAAAAAAGCAATAAATTATCTGTGTTTGCAAAGGAAATGTTCATGGTATTAATTGTTACATTTGGAATTAATAAAGAATAAATACAGACCCACGTGGTCCTGGATTCCCTTCCTTCTCTGCACCATCTCCTAACACTCTGAGTTGTGTATTTCTTTTGACACCAAGAAAAGCGCAAATCTGACAACAGTGTTGCCTCAGATAAAACTAAAATGGTAAATTCCTTCAATAATCACTTTATTAAGTGTGGTCATGCCTTAACCCCAGCTTTAGTCGTCTCTGGGGTCTCTGACCTCGACTCAGCTATAAGCACCGATTCCCTCTCCACAACCAGTTCCTGTTTCTCCATTCAGTTGTTTCAGGTAAATGAGGTACTTGACGAGTTACTCAGGTTAGATCCTCATAAATCAGCCGGACTGGATACTCTTGACCATTTCCTTCTGAAAATAGTAGCACGTGTTATTGCTGCACCTATTACCCATCTATTTAATCTGTCCATACAAACTGGTGCATTTCTGCAGGACTGGAAATCTGCATCAGTTACTCCACTCTTTAAATGGACAGATCATTCAGACCTAAGCTGTTAGAGGCTTATCTCTATCCTGCCTTGTCTCTCTAAAGTCATTGAAAAGTTAGCCAACAAACGGCTAACTCACTATCTGGAATCCAGCAGTATTATTACCCCCATGCAGCCAGGCTTCAGAACTGGCCATGGATGTCTCTGCAACACAGAAAGTGCTAAATGACATCATGTGTGTCATTGACAATAAGGAATATTGTGTGGCTGTGTTTGCTGACTTGGCTAAAGCCTTTGACTCTGTAGACCATAACATCTTATTCAGTAGACTCAAACATGTAGGACTTTCTCAGACATCCATGGCATGGTTCAGAAGTTATATCTTAGGTCGTATACCAGTGAGAACAGAGAGTTACTAATCTGCTCTTCTACCTCTATGGGCGTTCCTCAAGGGTCGATACTGGGCCCAGCCTTATTCAGAATCTATATTAATAACACTGTTTATGCTGTTGACAGTTCTCATATACATTTAAATGCAGACAACACCATTTTATATTCATGCAGTTCTTCCTCGAATGCTGCTTTGTCCTCCATGCAGCACAACTTTAATTGCCTCCAACCTTCATCTTCATTTAAACACAAGTAAAACAAAGTTCATGATCTTCAACCGTAACTTACCACCCTAGCTTGTACATATTATATATAAGAACAGTCCTTTGTCTTTTTGCCTAACTGTTTTATCTGATTTTAGAAGAAGAAGAAGAAAAGATCTTTTCTATAGCGCCTCTCAAGATAAAAATCACGAGGCGCTTCAAAAAAACAAAAAATGTAAAAATATAAAAAAGAATTTAGAAAATGATTAAAAATATATTTTAAATGAGCAAAAAATAGACAATTATGATTAAAAATGTAAAGAAAGAGAGAGAGTGAATAGGAAAGAGGGAAATCAGTGGATCCTGAGGAAGGTGGAATAGGTAGGGAGAGCAGAACAAGGAGGAGGTGATGAAGCAAAAGCACAAAAGCCAGTCTGAACAAGTGAGTTTTCAGCTGCTTTTTAAAGGAGACCACTGAGTCCACTGATCTCAGGCTCAGGGGGAGAGAGTTCCAGAGTCTGTGGGCCACAGCAGCAGATGATCTGTCACCTTTGGTCTTTAGCCTGGTGCTGCACAACCAGTTGGCTTTGATCACTGGACCTCAGGGACCTGCTGGGGGTGTAGGGACTAAGATGATCACCAATGTAAGATGGTGCTTGTCCATGTAAGGCCCTATAGACCAGAACCAGGATCTTGAAATGAACCCTGAAGTTGACTGGCAACCACTGATGCTGGAGGTGAAGTTGGCTGATGTGGGTGTGTTTGGAGGACTTGGTCAGAAGCCGAGCACAGGCATTCTGAACCACCTGTAGACGGTTCAGGGAGGTTTTGCTCAGACATGTACATTGTGTGTTTTATCTTGGGTGTGTTACAACTACAGGGGGATCACTCTCCTGAGCCTTACTGGTAAGGTCTATTCAGGGGTTATGGAGAGGAGGGTCCGTCGGATTGTTGAACCTCAGATTCAGGAGGAGCAATGTGGTTTTCGTCCTGGCCGTGGAACACTGGACCAGCTCTATACCCTTAGGGGGATCCTGGAGGGTGCGTAGGAATTTGACGAAACAATCTACATGTGTTTTGTGGATTTGGAGAAGGTCTTTGACCACGTCCCTTGGAAGGCCCTTTGCGGGGGTACTCCTGGAGTATGGGGTTCTAGGCCCTCTGAAAGAGGCTGTTATGTCCCTGTTTGACCGGTGTCAGAGCTTGGTCCGCATTGCTGGCAGTAAGTCAGACTTGTTCCCAGTGAGAGTTGGACTCCCCCAAGGCTGCCCTTTGTCACCAATTCTGTTTATAACCTTTATGGACAGGATTTATAGGATCAGCCAAGGTGTTGACGGCATTCGTTTTGGTGGCCTGAGGATCAGTCCTCTGCTTTTTGCAGATGATGTGGTCCTGTTGGCTTCATCAGAACGTGATCTTCGGCTTTCACTGGAGCGGTTTGCAGCCGAGTGTGAAGCAGCTGGGATGAGAATCAGCTCCTCTAAATCTGACACTGTGGTCTTGATTCAGAAAAGGGTAAAATGAATAAATAAGAGATACAGAATATTGATAAGAATGTAAAGAACTGCAAAACTATTTTGGACTTGTGGTTACAAAGGGACATCACTGCATTTGGAAGAGTCTTGATATCCAAAATGGAAAGTTTATGGATATACCCAGCTTATTCATTCAAAACGGGTAAATGATTAATCTTATCAATGGCAGGAGTTATAATTTTATTGGGAAAAATAAATATCAGTATATTAGGAAAGCTGATGTGGTCAAGGAGCTAGAGGAGGGTTGTTTAAATGCTATTGATTTTGTGGTTATGAATGGTGTGCTTAAACCTCTCAGGCTCAAAATGAGTTTTGATAAAAGGACGAACAACTAAGTCCTTCAGGGGTACTTCTGAGTTAAAAAATACTCATGAAATGCGTATGTGGAGTAACCAGGTAGGTAGGTTTTAACGATGCAAATCTGCAACGCCTGCCTCCAGAGGGTTAAAAGGTGAACTATGTAAGAATTGTCCAAAAGAGTTCAAATGAAGGCAACTGGACTTCTTTGGTTTCTTTAAGATGTGTGGCTTCTCATCCGAAGAGCTTTGTCAATGCTGACTGGAATATGATTGACCTGATGAGTGACTTAGACTGAAACTGCTTAGGAATGAGATTACAGTAGTTTCAGTCTAGGCCACACCTTCCTGCATCTAATCAACACGACTGCCGCTCAATAGAGACCAACAACTCATCAGGGGTAGAGAGGAGGAGTACTCAGAATAGTTTCTGCTCATTAAATAACAACAGACAGCTACAACTTATAAGCTTGACTCTCCCATATTCCAGTTAGAACTGACAAAGCACGTCGAATGAGAAGCAAATGTCTTCAAGAAAACAAATCAAGTTGTCTTCATTGGAGTCTTTTGAATTTACCATGACCTGGATGACTGATAACCTTCACCAACGAATATAAGAATGGGACAGTAGAATAATGACAAAACAGTCCAATGTGTCTCGTGGCTTTGGGACTGAGGTTTGGTCATGCGGCTTGGCGCTGCTCTGCACCAGGGAAATTCTGACCTACCTCTGTGGTAAGGAGTAGTTTTTGGGTGGTGTTATGAGGAGCCTGAGTCTACCCTCCTTCCGGTCGGCACATGTATCCAAAGTAGGGCTGGGGGTAAACGATTATTTTTAAAACAATTATTCAGACGATTATTTTATTGAATAGTCGACTATTCTAATGACTATTTAGATGATTAATCTTACGATTATTTTTCTATTGCACAATTAACAAAAACCAGAAAATCTCAAATAAATTCCTCAAAAAAATTGATTATTTGTTACTGTAAGAGAATAAACACTACAATCCTTCCATTTTGTATAACACTGTGTAACCCAGAAGCTAGAACCTTAATGAGGTATTAACTAATTGGCTTACTAATATGATCCATCCTCAATTTAGATAAAATATAAAATATAAATTAAGGAAATTAACAATACTAATTAATAGATATCTAATTAACTAATAGATAATTTCATAATGAATTATTGGAAGGGTGAATAACTAAAATAACGAGTTTAATATTAAACATCGGTTAAAACAAGAATCTTGAACATCACTAACAGAAACAGAAGAGGAAAGCTGTATACTATTGGTCCAGGTGGGAATCTGAAATTTCATTGGCTGAGAGAAATAAGTCCCGCCTCCGCGAAATAAAACCGTGCGACGCAGCTGAGCGAGAGGAGAGACAAACGGCTGTGCAGCACGCAGATACAGAAAGCAAAGACTGAGCGGTTAGAGAGAGAGAGAGAGAGAAAAAAAAACAACGGTCGAGGCCGTGAAGAACCCTGATTTGGGTGCCGCATAGATAGAGGGAGAGGCGGACTTGACTCCTTCTAATAAGAGCTAGGAACTTGGAACCAACGCGGTGAGTAAAGAAAAAAGAAGAGAAAAAGCTAACGATGCAACTTAAAAAAAAAAAGGAAACTTAAATAGCTTATCAAATTAATTCCATTCTTATAGATTTGTGTGGAGACGACAGAGTGAACCAATCCTCTGTAGGAGGGAACCGTTGGAGCGCGTTGGTGAGTGAATGAGATTAAATTCAGTAAATTATTAAATTCAAAAAGCTAATTACAGCAACCGAGGTGACAGCAGTGGGCTGCTAGACGTTAGATCCCAGGAGTTAACATCTCAAACTACCAGTTAACGGTGGTAGGGCATATAGGAGTTAACGGCTCAAACCGCCAGTTAACGGCGGTACGGCATATGGGATTCCCAGGAGTTAACG